ATGCTTTGTCTGTGAATGCTGTGAGTTACAGTGAAGCCAATTTGTGTACTTGTGTTTGAAACTGTCACTGCCAACTTAAGCCATGTGTAATGTGTGTTTTGGGTGTGTTTTGAATCAACTAAACTTTACAGCCCTTCACAGAAACCCCGCCGCCGACCAGTGTTTTGCAGGTGTAACTGCGGAGTGACAATGACACACCACTGCACAAGTATAAATGCTCACCAAGGTTTAAGCCACGCGCGTAGGCTATGGTATAGTCTCTGCATAGAGCTGACACACACGTATAAATCCTGCTTAAAGCGTAAGCCATCTGTGGCTACAAGACACCAAGGGTGTGCCAAATTGATGGTTTTGACGACCTAGGGCTGAGAACAAGTTGGTTGTTTTTTACTTTAATTTGTCTCTCATGGTTGTCTGGGATCTGAGAATTTATCACCATTTATCCTTTTAATATCTGCTCATGGCAATATTGGATTTACAAAACTTTTGCATCAGCTAATGAAGTAACTTCAGTTTTCAGAAAGTGAATTCACCAGAGGATCTGTCGGTATCATATTTTAAAACTGTGTATGCCTCAATAGAAAATTGTTTTCCTATATTGCTCAACTCTAGCAGTACTTCAATTACTCACCTAATGGAACTACACATTTAAAACATGCACACATTTTGCCGCATGCATGCAAACACACAGACAGCTGTGAGGATCAATGCGGCTGAGAAAGTTGGAGAACTCAAAGTGTCTGACCTTGATTAGACATAATGAGATTTAACCACCAGTCCACTAATCTGATGAAATGACTTACAGATTCACCTTGTGATGAATACTAAATACAAGCATTGACTCGCTTCATACACACGCTGATGCTGGTATACACACTCACACCCTTTATAGGCATGTGCACACACACACATACCCACACATGTCCTTGGCCTATCCCAATCAGACTTATTACTTTGAGAATCTTCAAAGGGCTCTTTGATCACCTCTTTGAAAATCATCTTAATAAAAATTGCAAATAGGAGCCGGTCTGTAGATACAGCCATATGGAAAGTTTTGTGATAAGACAGAAGTGGAAAGACTGACCTCTAGCAGTTCTGCTCTGTTCTGTGACTTATCTTTGAGAAAACACTGGTTATGTGGGAGATTAATATGTAAAGCCCTGTGAAATGCCAGTGAATTTAATGGTATGCCAGACCAGTTTCAACTCTGCTACTGAACATCTTGCTCATGATATTTATAAAGCACCCTATAACTGTGCTGATTCCTTATAAGAAGACTTCCAAACTCTAACTACTACTGTACAACAATCTTTTGGCATTAGTTGGAAGATGAAATCCAAACCAAGTATGAATGCTCATCAGATGCACCAACACTGCGTAGCTCTTGATACTGCTTTGAGCTTGGATTTAACTACTCTGGAAAGTTAGCATGGCATTGGAATTATCAAGGTAGGTGCTGTGAGGTATTTTACCTGGACTGCTTCACTATAAAATTCCAATTTTTTAAATGGCACCCAGACTGTACCAACACAGCTGTCTGACTAAAGAGCATGTGTTTTGTTTTATTTCAATCTGAATGTGGCCTTCAAAGGCTCAGTCCTAAAAAGCTGTTTTAAAAAGGCAACTGAACAAGGCACTGATTTGTTGTAAAAAGACAAAATGACTGCAAGACATAGTTGTGGTAGCTTGGTAATGGATCACCTTAAACAAATAGGATGCTACTTTCATCAGTGTTAATATTTGGGGCATGGTCTTTCCCCAAATCATCAGTTTATCATTTACTCAAAGCCCTCAGCATCTAATAGTAGGGGTGGGGGGAAAGTTGATACAGCATAGCATCGTAATAAATCCCAATATATTCAATCCCAATAATATTGTATCGTGACTTAAGTATCGTGATAATATCGTATCGTGGATCCTCTGGTGATTCCCACCCCTATCTAATGGGGCTGCTCACTAATAGTCAACCATACGTTAGTCGACCAGAAAGGTCATTATTTGTCAAGATTTCATTGGTTTCAATTTTCACAAAACCAAAAAAGTGACAGTCTTTTAGGAGCTGTGCCTTGTTACTGTGAATCAAAATCTATATGACTGGACCATGCTGGAATTTAATTTCAAAAGACAGACACAGGAATAGGGTTGGGTCAGTTCTCAGTAATACCAATTTGGTTCGGTACTCCGTCTTGGACTGGGTTTTTTTTTTTTTTTTTTGAGACTGACCGGACTGCATACGTCATTTACAGCCTGTGTCTGCCTCTTTGCCAAGCGCACGGCGAGCAGGAGAGAGAAGGGGGTTGCGGGTGGGGCGGGGACTGAGCTAGTGGGTGCGAGTGCGCATGCGCCGAGGCCTGTACTGTAGCCTGGAGTTTGTTTAACAGTGACAGGGAGTTGATAATGGCGGACAATTTAGTCTTGAAGAAATCAAAGAATGTGCCAATATGGCTACACTTTGGCTTTGAGCCAGACAAAGGAGGCAACGCTTGTTTGCACTGATTGAGTAAAGAAACAACTTGTTACTGTCACTCTGTTGTCCTATGGTCTTTTTTATTTTAAATGAGTTAACTGCGCCCCCAAGTGGCGAAAATCCGGTATTACCGACTTGATGCGGTTTTTCACAAAAAACGTTTTTTTTTCTCATACTGATCCAACCCTACACAGGAAGTGGCCACACTCAGCAGTCAGACAGAACTCACGTTAATATCCAGGGCTGGTACCTGCGGTTATTACACAGGCTAGTTAATAACATGTCGGGCAGGAAATCCAAAGTGTGGGATCATTTTGAAGGACGAACCCAAGGTGATATGTAAACTCTGCAGGCAAACATTTGCCTATCATTTGTCGACTCCAAACATGACATATCATCTAAAAAAAATGTAATTAGCTACATGCCCATTAGCCACTTAGCACAATCATTACTGACAGCGTCATTAACAGGCGGCTCGCTCAGTGTCTGACGTGCACTTGTAGATAAAATATAGGCCTATATTAATGAAGGTTCATTAGTATGGTTTTGTATTTCTCTGTAATGTAGCACAGTGTTAACAATGTTACTGATACTATTCTTTCTCACACCTTCAACTCAAACCATTGTGTTGCCCTGCCCAAAATATATAATTTAATGACTGAATTAATACCATAAACATGCGGGCGACTAGTCAACTGATGGCCCTAAATGACGACTATTGGTCAACTAGGAAAATTCTTAGTCTGGGACCCTAGCATCTAGACCTCTTTTATGCCTCTCTCTTAAACCCATATGCAAACCACAACTATGTATACAGTACACATTTCATACAGTTATTTCTCAAGTCTTTTCTCACCCAGTCATTGACTTACTCTTTTAAAGCCGCTAAAAACTCCCAAGCCTCCACTCTCCTTGAATTGTTCTGGTTTTATATGTAAACCCTTTCCTATCACTGACACTAACACAAAGCAGATCAGGAGTTCGTAAACTTGCGGAGCTATTTTGCAGCTCCTGAAAAGCCTTGTGTCAGAATAATAATCTGACCTCTATGTTCACATCTTTCGTTACAGCCTTTTAAATTTCCAGCATCAGTCCTTTAACACTGCTTAGCACCTCACACTTCAGTCTCACCACCACTCTTATTCTGATTTTCATCCTTTACCCCAAGCATACAAACACACACATGCTCTCTCTGCCCCACTACACACTCATCACACCTTTCTGGCTCAGTTCCCCTCCTGTGAATGGTGGGTTACCTCTGCTGATTAAAAAATCCAGTAATCACAGTGGGCAGTGTTCCATTTTCAGTAATTGTGGCAGCAAGCGACCTCACCAACTGCCAGCCTTTTAAACAAGAGTGTAACAGGTGAGGTCTGTTTACAGGCATTGGTCCATTTTTCATAATTACATTGGTGTTTGCTGAAAACACTTGCTTTAAAAATCACACATGCTGATGTTTTGAAGTATTTCAGCACTGGATAAATGGTCTGTAGGTTGTTAACAGTGATAATGACCCTCACATACATTACTTTATCCACAATACCTCTTTATAACTAGACAGTAAATTGGTTTGTGTAATATAACAGCTTCAGGAAACTATTTTCTATGCGAAGTATATGCTTTTTTGACACTGGTCATTGTAGTTTTTAGCTATAGTGGCTGAAATGCAGAAACTCCTTTGTCACATTTACATTCAGTTTTTGCAGAAAATGTGTGTTAGTCCTACAAAATGAGCAGCAGCAGTACATCCTTAATAAAAACTGTCAAAACACTCTCTATCACTGTTTAAGAAATAATATGTTAACCTTCTCACAATGCAGTAACGCTTTTAAGATGCATGTCATAACTGACAAACTGGACATGTAATTCATGGAAAATCTTTGCCTGTGTTATACTGAGAGGGATTTAGGGGTGGGTAATTATTTCTATTTCTATTTCTCACTTTTCCAAACATGCTCGATAGGAAATAATAAAAGAAGCAGACATTTTGTGCACTCTTTTGCCCTTGATGGCCTTGATCAAACCATATGGATGTCCTGCATCTGATGGTGCAGCCAACAAAAAAAGCAACTGAAAGCAATTTTCTGAGGCAATGTGCAAGAAAGAGAAGGTTGGCACAGCGGCTGGAGCGCGGCAAAATGTGTCACACTGGGACCGAGCAACCTTGGGAGTGCTTTATGCCGAAGGAAATGTGTGTGTGTGTTTGTGTGTGTGTGTGTGGAGGTCAACTGGTTCAAACACAAATTACATGACTGTAAAAGAGACAAGAACAGTTACATCATGCTGGTGTGTATGCGCGTTTTAGAAAATATGTGTATTTTTATAGACTTTCATTTCCTTATGCATGAATGAACACACACTCATACAAACACACACACTTAGACTTGTAGCTGGTACCACATTTGAGACATGCCAAATGTGTGTGTGTCCTGACCTCCCTGACTGTGTGTTCACGGCCTTCCCCTCTGTCTGTGTTTGCATGTTTGCCTTTGTGGCATGGTTTGTCTGTGGATGTGTTTGTACGGCTACTTACTGCAGATTGCATCAGCCTCGTCTGAACCGTCTGCACACTCCGGTTCTCCATCACAGCGCCACCTAGCGGGGACACACTGTCCATTCTTACAGGCAAAGTCTGTGGTAGCGCATGTCTTCTTTGCTGTGGAGACAAAGGAAACATGCAACATTACTGTGTGGCTCAAAGAACAGTTAGGCAGCAAAGCTACTCTCTTCTGGTCGTTATAATATGACTAGTGAATCAACTTATTCCAAGTTCCATTGGATTGAATTACATATTTAATGGGAGCACAGGAAGTGATGTCTGAATAGAGACAGTAAACATATATAGAAACTGGACATAATGGCTGACAAGTGACGACAACGTATGTGAAAACCTCACAGACTGATAGGGCCAAATTTGAACTGTTTTGACATCTCACAGCAATAGAAACACACTAACCCTTTGAAACCTGAGCAAATTGGCTTGATTTCTTTCAAAAACATGTAAAGAAAGCAATGAGCAATGAAAGCAGAAATGACCCCAAAAATTTGCGGAAATTTGTAAAATAAATAAACAAATGCAAACCCAAAACCAGTGAAGTTGGCATGTTGTGTAAACCGTAAATAAAAACAGAATACAATGATTTGCAAATCCTTTTCAACCTACAGTACAGGCCAAAAGTTTGGACACACCTTCTCATTCAATGCGTTTTCTTTATTTTCATGACTATTTACATTGTAGATTCTCACTGAAGGCATCAAAACTATGAATGAACACATGTGGAGTTATGTACTTAACAAAAAAAGGTGAAATAACTGAAAACATGTTTTATATTCTAGTTTCTTCAAAATAGCCACCCTTTGCTCTGATTACTGCTTTGCACACTCTTGGCATTCTCTCCATGAGCTTCAAGAGGTAGTCACCTGAAATGGTTT